TTCACCATTGGGTGGGATTACCATGCTATATAAGGTCACCTTGCCTGCAAAGCTCCTCTCTTCAAGTGTTTTCTTCCATGGGGCTGACTGGGCAGGCTGAAGCAGGGCATACTCACAGCAGTAGGTGGGACTATCTGTTTTCCTCTTTACTTCTTTCACCTGCATGTTGCAACTTGCAGCAAGAACCTATGACTCAGTTGCTAGAAAGTGTTAATACTGGGATTAAAGGACAATAAAGAATTCTTCTCTGGGCCTTGTGCCTAAGTTTTGGGTTCCGGCCCAACTTCATCAGAGAAGCTGGCATTAATAGTTAAGGTTGCCACTAATAAAACAATGTCTATATTTTTAATTGATACTCTTCCTTGTGTGAATATTTATTTCAGGAATCTCATAAAGAATAGTTATTATTGCCCTAGCTGGTTTTGCTCAGTGGATAGAGCATCGGCCTGTGGACTGAAGGGTTCCAGGTTTGATTCTGGTCAAGGGCACATGCTTGGGTTGCAGGCTTGATCCTCAGTGTGGGGTGTGGAAAAGGCAGCCAATCAATGATCTTTCTCATCACTGTTTCTATCTCTCTCTCCCTCTCCCTTCCTCTCTTAAATCAATATACACTGAGTGGCCAGATTATTATGACCACCTGACGTTTGTAGGCAAATTAGCTGTATACTACATCGTATGGGATATGGAAGCTGAAGGCCTGTTCGAACACCTTTGCTGTCTGCAGTTACCAAGATAAAACGTCTCCAATTCGCACAGAAACACAAGAATTGGACAGTCGAGCATTGGAAAAAAGTCATGTGGTCCAATGAATCACATTTCCAGTTGCATCATACAGATGGCAGAGTGAGAATTTGTCAGAAACAGCATGAAAGCATGCACCCCACATGCATGAGTACAACCCTTCAAGCTGGTGTGGGCAGTGTTATGGTTTGGGGCATGTTTTCCTGGCATGATTTGGGCCCTTTAATTTGTGTGGAACAACGTCTGAATAGCACAACATACCTAGATATCATTGCTGATCAAGTTCATCCTATCATGTTGATGGCATATCCCAATGGAGATGGCTTCTTCCAACTAGACAATGCATCATGCCACGGTGCTCGTATTGTGCAGGAGTGGTTTCAAGAACATGAGGGAGACTTTACCTTGCTTAGGTGGCCCCCACAATCACAAGATTTCAATCAAATTGAGCATTTGTGGGACGAAGTTAAAAGAGCCATCAGGTAGCTGGTTCCACAACCATCAAATCTCACAGAACTAGATAGTGCTATTCATCAGGCATGGTGTCAGATTCCTCGCATCACCTTTCAACATCTCGTGGATTCAATGCCAAGAAGAATCGCTGCAGTATTGAAGGCAAAAGGTGGCCCAATGAAGTACTGATGGGGTGGTCATAATAATCTGGCCACTCAATATGTGTGTGTG